CCACATGGTGGCACTTTGTGTCATCGGGTGTTTATCGCTTGTGTGATGTCCTAGTGGGGTGCAAATCTACTACTGCTACTCAACTGCCATTATACGCCACTTTGTGTAGTGTAAGCTGGCGGCAGTGGGCTGGGGGAGGGGTTTGTCTTTGAGCCTGAAGACTTAGGATACACATGACTAGTGCAGTCGCCTTAGACTCTGCAGGTTAAGGTACTGTTTTGCTCTAAACAAGGAACAAACCCATAACTTTACTGAGGATTTAAACCTAGGTCTTTCGCATCAAAGCCTAGTGTTGTTAACCATTCGGCCAGCTGCTCATAATAACAGCGTAAGAAACACTATCAAAGATTTGCCTATATGTATAATAAAAGATACCAATTCAACGCCATGTTTGAGGATCTGAGGATCATACTTTTATTGGCGCTCACTGGCAACCTGCAATATCCTAGGATTATTCAGGTATCCATTTTTATGAAGGCCAGTTGCCAGGGGCCAACTTAAGCCTGTAAAAATTGCTTACCTCAGAGTTGATGTACAGTCAGGATCACCTAGCTTGCACTGACCTAATGTTGGTATGTAAGATCACCTAGCTTGTGCTAACCTAATGTTGGTATATAGGATCACCTAGCTTGTATTGACCTTATTTTGGTATGTAGGATCACATGGCTTCTACTCACTTATGTTGGTATGTAGGATCACCTAGCTTGTGCTAACCTAATGTTGGTATATAGGATCACCTAGCTTGTATTGACCTTATTTTGGTATGTAGGATCACATGGCTTGTACTCACTTATGTTGGTATGTAGGATCACCTAGCTTGTACTGACCTAATGTTGGTATGTAGGATCACCTAGCTTGTACTGACCTAATGTTGGTATGTAGGATCACCTAGCTTGTACTGACCTAATGTTGGTATGTAGGATCACCTAGCTTGTACTGACCTAATGTTGGTATGTAGGATCACCTGGCTTGTACTGACCTAATGTTGGTATGTAGGATCAAATGGCTTGTACTGACCTAATGTTGGTATGCAGGATCATCTGGCTTGTACTGACCTAATGTTGGTATGTAGGATCACCTAGCTTGTACTGACCTAATGTTGGTATGTAGGATCACCTGGCTTGTACTCATGGTATGTAGAATGAAATTGCTTGCACTGACCTAATTAATGTTGGTATGTAGGATGTTAACTCTTTCAATCCCAGAGGGGTTCAGCATCAGAGACCCACGGGTGTGTTAACTCTTTCAGTCCCAGGGGGAAGGGGGTCAGCATCATAGGCATAAAGGGTAGTCAAGAGAGACATAAAACTAGCACATCACTGAGCTTCTGGGGAGGAACCTTTGAACGTGTGATGTATTCCTTGGAACTAAAAGAGTTAAAGATTCAGTGGGTCTGTTCTTGTTCTCCGCCAACACTTAGCCCAAGAACCCACACAGGGACAGGAGAGAATCAAACAAGGACAAATCATGGAAACCTGGTTCAGCTGTATAAAACAGTTTACAGGGCTAAGAGTTTTCTGTGGCACTAACTACTAAATGTACATCTTCAGCTGACTTGTCTATCTCATATTCTGTCACTGGTGATTGCACACATAGTTTTATGCACAAAACATAGCCACAATGTGAAGGAGGTAAGGAAGGCTTTCGCTACAAATCAATGCAACTATCCACAAGAGAACAATGTCAACAGTCCACAGAATGATGGCAAACTGGTAACTTGACAACATGGGCAATATGGTTTGGAATTAGAAAATCAGAAAGTAGTTACTGAGTATGTTGTTGTCAAATAGTGGTTTTGTTAGTATTTACAAAGTATACACAGTTTAATATTGAGACAACAAAATTAACAAATTCAGTTTTATGTCAGTAATGGTTACAACTGATTAACAAATTCAGTTTTATGTCAGTAATGGTTACAACTTATTAACAAATTCAGTTTTATGTCAGTAATGGTTACAACTGATTTACAAATTCAGTTTTGTGTCAGTAATGGTTACAACTGATTTACAAAACTGTGATGCTTTATGTCAGTAATGGTTACAACTGATTTACAAAACTGTGATGCTTTATGTGTCTTTCAGTTTTGAATAATTAAACAAAACTACCTTGTGAAAAAAACAGTCAACTATGTGTCTCAACAGCCATGATTGATAAATGTATATAACATGAATCATCAGCTTTATGTAACATGAAAGATCAGCTTTATGTAACATCAAACATCAGCTTTATGTAACATGAAACATCAGCTGTATGTAACATGAAACATCAGCTTTATGTAACATGAAACATCAGCTTTATGTAACACAAAAGCTCAGTTTTATGTAACATGAAAGCTCAGTTTTATGTAACATGAAACATCAGCTTTATGTAACATGAAACATCAGCTTTATGTAACATGAAACATCAGCTTTATGCAATATGAAATAATCAGCTTTATGTAACATGATACATCTGCTTTATTTTGATGCTTGTTATTCCAGATCTTGAAGTTAGTAATGGTTAGTTTAAAAAAAATAATATAAAATGTCTTTTTTTGTCAGCATTAGAAAAAAATCAGTCTTGTCTCTCTAATTCTTTTTTTGTATTTCAAACCTCATGTTTTACAAATCACCCTTACACTACTTGGTGAAGTGAACAAATATCAACTTTATGTCAGAAAGTCAAGTTAGTTGTGTGTCTGTATTCAGTTTGATATCACAAAAAAGCTTCAGTTCACAATTAAAATCATGTCCTGACAAATCAACTTGACAGTAATTTCTTGTTCTTCCCATTTACCCCCTTTTGTATTCTTCTTCAGCGATCTCTCGTTATGTGGTTAATCCATTAGCAATTTTAATTTATGGTCCATAAACTAGGATGTCAGCTCAAGGTTTCTTGGGTTTTCCCTAAGCTTAGTTTTTGGATCTACTGGGCGTGGCTATATGTTGCTTCGCAGCTGCCTCAGGATTTCTTGCAAGACATGTTCTGGGATCTGTTGAGGATAAAGACACAGACAGACAGCTGTTTAGTTCATACCTAATTTAAATGAGAAGACTGCTGAAGAAGCAGATCACCTATTTGACCATGTCTCTGGATAATATGTCAAACTGTTCTACCTTTTGCCATTTCCATAAGCTTCCTTCATGACTTCAAGTCTTAATGGCCTTGACCTATTATACTGTCTTCATCCTTCTGCAGCTAGCAAGGATTGAGAGTAGACTGCCATTTTATATGAAAGAAAAACTTTAGTTTCTTCCTCTTTGATCCTTTTGTCAGAAAAACTTGTATCAAGAGGTCCTGTGCTTTTGTGAAGGCCATCTTGCAGTCCAAATCTTCATGTGTGCCATACAGCTTTGTGTTGGCTAGGGTTGTAACAGTTCACACTTGAGCTGCACATCAAATCAATCATGAACAAATACACTAAGAATTGGTGTCAGCTAGCTGATGGCCTATGCTCCACTTGGAAATTTAAGGCAGATAAGGAGAAATGAACCTTTAATCCTGTCCAGTAAACAACTCCTTTTATTCTTCTTTGTTCACTGGCTGTAAGCTTTGATGGGAAGTCCTGGCTGTTCACCGGCTGTAAGCTTCGATGGGAAGTCCTGGCTGTTCACCGGCTGTAAGCTTCGATGGAAAGCCCTGGCTGTTCACCGGCTGTAAGCTTCGATGGGAAGTCCTGGCTGTTCACCGGCTGTAAGCTTCGATGGGAAGTCCTGGCTGTTCACCGGCTGTAAGCTTCGATGGGAAGTCCTGGCTGCTCACCGGCTGTAAGCTTCGATGGAAAGTCCTGGCTGTTCACCGGCTGTAAGCTTTGATGGGAAGTCCTAGCTGTTCACCGGCTGTAAGCTTCGATGGGAAGTCCTGGCTGTTCACCGGCTGTAAGCTTTGATGGGAAGTCCTGGCTGTTCACCGGCTGTAAGCTTTGATGGAAAGTCCTGGCTGTTCACCGGCTGTAAGCTTCGATGGGAAGTCCTGGCTGTTCACAGGCTGTAAGCTCTGATGGGAAGTCCTGGCTGTTCACAGGCTGTAAGCTTCGATGGGAAGCCCTGGCTGTTCACAGGCTGTAAGCTCCAATGGAAAGTCCTGGCTGTTCACAGGCTGTAAGCTCCAATGGAAAGTCCTGGCTGTTCACAGGCTGTAAGCTTCAATGGAAAGTCCTGGCTGTTCACCGGCTGTAAGCTCTGATGGGAAGTCCTGCTGTTCACCGGCTGTAAGCTCATATGGAAAGTCCTGGCTGTTCACCGGCTGTAAGCTCTGATGGAAAGTCTTGGCTGTTCACCGGCTGTAAGCTCTGATGGGAAGTCCTGGCTGTTCACCGGCTGTAAGCTTCGATGGGAAGTCCTGGCTGTTCACAGGTTGTAAGCTCCAATGGAAAGTCCTGGCTGTTCACAGGCTGTAAGCTCCAATGGAAAGTCCTGGCTGTTCACCGGCTGTAAGCTCTGATGGGAAGTCCTGGCTGTTCACCGGCTGTAAGCTCTGATGGAAAGTCCTGGCTGTTCACAGGCTGTAAGCTCCGATGGAAAGTCCTGGCTGTTCACCAGCTGTAAGCTCTGATGGAAAGTCCTGGCTGTTCACAGGCTGTAAGCTCCAATGGAAAGTCCTGGCTGTGTGTCCATTTGGACTTTGGCTTTGTGCCAGGGCCTTAGTTTTGCCTGTACATCCATTTTGCTGACTTATTTGTGTGCAGGTGGTTGTTCCTTGCCTCTCAGAAGGATGCACTCCAACTTCTAAGAAACCTTCCAATTAGTCGACTATTACGACATGCTCTTTTGTTTGTTTTGTAGGCAGTGGGTCTATTCTTGTTATTCCCACAATGGAGCTTGCAACCTGCACAGGGACATTAAAAAGTCACAACGGATGCATAAACAAATGTCAATGACTAAGAAAAAAAATGTGATACAAACAGTCTATGCTAAAATGCTCAATAACCTAAGTTATAAGCTTCCGATATACATTTATTCTTTTTTAAACCATTTTGCAAATCTCTGAACTAAACCCTGGTTTGGTTTGGAGAACCAGGTTTACACTTTCAGTGTCAAAAGTTTCTGCCTTGGAACAAATCCTTCTTTGGGAATTGATGGCACAGGAGGCGGAGTACCTATCTGCTTCTGAGGTGTCGACTGATTCGAGCTACAGCCAGGACCCACTTCTTCATAGTGGCAGCAGCTTCCGTTGACAGAACCATTGTGGTAGCTGGTGGTGCCATCACTAATATCTGAGTTGTGGTAGGCAGAGTTTGTATGAGTGCTGCAGGAAATGCTGTTTGCCAGCTGGTAATGACCGTTAGGAGATTCCAGAACTGGGATTTCATACAAGTCATTGTGAATGGTCTCACCAGAGCTGACGTTGCGTGTGGACTGGTACTCGGGATTCCCTGAAAAACGACTGTCTATTGTCAGTTTATCTAAATGCCTGTGGTCATTACCCCCCGCTTGCAGCTTGGGTTTTCTCTGACGAATATCGGGCATTGCAAACAACAGCTTCTCCCAGAACCAGGGGTCGTCATATTTTAAGTACGTGCGAGTTCTCATGTACACTTTTAAAGTGCTGTCCAGTTTGTCTGAATCCAAGTCATGTAGAAGAATGAGGATGACTCGGTTTCGTCGCTCGTTCAATACCTGTTGATGAGCGGTCTGAAACTCGAACCTACACCATTCTGAATCCAAAAAGTTGTCAGAAACAACTAAGATAGTTCTTTTGCTGGCTTCAACACTGCGGACAATTGTTTCTGCAATACATGCCCCAACTGGAAAATCCCGATAGTGCACACACAATTTGAACTTTTTGTCCCCATTTTCCAGCCGTGGAGCAAGTTGGCGGATCACAAAGTCCTCGTCTTTATTGCTGTAAGAGATAAAAGCGTCATAGGGTCTTTCGTTATCATCGGATGCTTTAGCCATCTTGAAGACTCTCAACCCAAACCGAGTGAAGCAGACAACTTGAAGGAAGTGTCTGTTGGTGTAAGCTACAATAAGTAGAGCCAGAGCAAAGACTATAATGATGCAAGCGGCAATCAGTGCATAGATTTCTGAAGCTGCTGCTGGTGCCTCTGTGCTGTGTCTGGTGATGTTCTCGTAAATAGTTTGGTTATGAATGCAAAGCTCAGGTTGTAGATCAGTTAACATCAAACTCTGACGGTGTGTATAAAATGACTGCTCTGAGTCTACAGGGGGTATACATTCAATGAAGGAAACATCCCCAATAAATTCAGAGTTTTTCTGTACAAAAGATAGAAATCTACAAGCAAAGTCAAGGTCACAGCTCCAATGGTTTCCACTAAGGTAGAGCTTTGTCTTGGCACTGTTGTCTAAAGATCGATTTGTAAAATTGAAGAGGTCAGTCAGAGAAATTGTCAGCAGAGCATTGTTCTGGAGATTGATAAGGTTGAGGGTTGCTGGAGCAAACAGAGCCTGGACATCAAAGGTGTGGATGTCGTTGTTGTTGAGGTAAACTTCCTCTAGACTCTCCAGTCCCTGGAAAGTCACAGAGTAGATGACAGTTAAATGATTGTCATTCAGAAACAATCGCTTGACTGACTTCAGACCCCTGAAGGTGTTGTTTTCTATAGCCTGGATTTGACTGTGGTTCAGGTACAGATTCCCCACAAGCTTCAAGGCTAGAAAAGCATGCTTTGGGAGAACAGGGATGTTGTTTCCATCCAGCCTTAGATCTGTGGCCCCTTCAGGCAATCCAGCAGGGACAGCGGTCAAGTTGGCAGAGTTACATAGTACATGGTGGACATGCCAGAAGTCATCCCCAATGTAGCACTGGCAGGCTGCTGGGCAAACATACTTACAGTAGCAGGCATAGTCACAGCACATGCATGACTCCTCACAGTGACTGCTGTATGGGCACAAGAACTCTGAACGTGGTAGCTGCTGTAGGTTCTGCCTATCACCATAGAATGGGCTGCTGCAATCCAAACCAAAACCAAGGACAAAGTCAGGCAGTGTCATCATGTCCTTCAGCATCCCAGATGACCAATCCTTCAACCACCCAAGCTTACAATCACACACGAAAGGATTGAATTGAATTTTGAACACTGGAATGTACCCCAAGTTAAATGCAATTTCTACGTCCATCCTGTTAAGGGAGGTCAGTCTATTACCACTGAGATCCACTGTACGTATCCTGCTTAGGGATTTAAACGTATGGGCAGAAATCAATGTAATTTTATTATGTGACAGATCTATAGTTTTGATCATATGAGGAATCTGTCCTCGGAGGATCTTGGTGATGCTGTTAAAAGACAAATCTAATGTTTCTAGGTCTTTAAGTCCACTGAACACTGTACCAAGGTCAGTAAGATCATTATCTGATAAAATGATTGTCTGAACATGGGCTGCATTGTAAAATGTTGCTTCGTCCAGGAGTTTTATAGAATTGTATGATAAATCAATGATCCTCAAGTTTTCACAGCCTTTGAACAGCTTAACTGGCAGTGTTTTCAACTCATTGTGGCTGATGTTGAATGTGACCAGGTGGTGAAGATCCAGCAGAAATGCTTGGTTCAGAATAGAGATTTTATTGTGACTGACATCGAGAGTAAACAAATGAAGCAGCTGGTTTACTGGTGTCATTTCAACCAGGGAATTGTGGGATAGGTTTAGATGGGTAATATGTAACGTCCTTGAAAACAAATCATTATCAATTTGGCTTAGATTGTTGCTACTGAGATCAAAATAGGTCACATTTGCCAGTTCATAAAACACTTTTGGTGGTAAGGATGTGATTTTGTTGTAGCTAAAATCAAAAGTGATTAAATCTTTTAGCTGGTGAAAAGCTTCATACCCAACGCTGGTGATTTGATTGTGGTGAACAAAAAGGTGCTTCAGGACATGTTGCTTTCTAAAAGCACCTAATGGAATCTCAGGGATTTCATTAAAGGACAAATCCAAAGTGTTCAGGTTCAGCTGATACTCAAAAGCTGTTTTTGGAAGTAAATTAATCTTATTGTGATCAAGGTAACAGTACTGCAGCCTCAAAAACTGGCTCATGACATCAGTATTTACTGATGTCAGTTCGTTGCCAGACATGTTCAGATGAACCAACTGACGAAGCTCTGCAAGCTCCATCCAGACATCATCATTTAAGTTCATCTCACCAATTTCAAACTGTTGCAGAACAGACAGATTTGCTAGCAGACTCCGAGGAAGAGTTGACAAGCGGTTTCCGGCCAAACCTAGTATGAGCAAGTTTGGGCAGCCTTTGAAGAATTTTGAGCTAATGCTGGTTAAAGAGTTGATACTAATATCTAAAAATGTTAGCTTCTGCAGATTTTGGAAAGGAGATTCTTCAGTCTTTGAAATGTAGTTATCAGCGATGCCTAAATGGTGAAGATGTGGCAAACTCTGATCAAGCCAATCTGGTATCTCAGTTAGTAAGTTGCTGTTGATATCCAGAGTTTCCAGTGAAGCTGATCCATCCGGGCAATTCAGTCCGGCATTTTCTAGAGACAGGAAGTTGTTTCTGGAAATATTTAACACCCTGAGGTGGCCAGCAGTGCAGACAGGGAATAAGTGGGTCAGTAAACTGTTGGAGATTTCCAGGGTGTCCAGCTGAGGCAAGTAGGTCAGCAGTCCAGGATCTAGGTCAGAGATGATGGCATCTCTGATGATGAGCTGAGTCAGGGACCCAAGACCTCTAAAGCCATTTCTGGGGGAGAGAAAACATCAAATGAGTTGTGTGGCTTAAATAAGAAAGCATTGAAAAAAAAAACAATCTTGCATGAAATAAGTAAAGAAACTATTTTCACATGTCAAAGACTGGCATTTGTGTTAGCTCCAAACCTGTATCAACCAGTCAACAGATTGTGTGATAAGTATCAACCAATCAATAAACTGTGTGATAAGTATCAACCAATCAATAGATTGTATCATATGTATCAACCAATCAATAGACTATGTGATAAGTATCAACCAATAAATAAATTGCATCATATGTATCAACCAATCAATAGATTATGTGATACGTATTAACCAATAAATAAATTGTATCATATGTATCAACCAATCAATAGACTGTGTGATGAGTATCAACCAACCAATCAATAGATTGTATGAGGAGGATCAAAACCAATCAATAGACTGTGTGATCAGAACCAACTGAACATTTCTAGAAGTTTTGTCTGGTACAGATTTGTTAGCTACAGTTGAAATCTTCCCTGATCACAGGACTGGGAGCCAAGAATACTTGTTACTGCACCACCACAGCTACCAACATGTACTAGGAGACAACAGTGAGTTCATATTCTGTCTGGCAACCTATCTATTGTTTAATTGTGTAGCTCCAGCTGGGGCATGTTTCCTTTCCCCATCTGTATTTGCCATAAAACATAGGGAATGTTTTGTTGTGTTTTTATTATCACAATCGATGTCACTGCACATTGAGCATTTCCATGTGTGCCAAGTCCTCCAATGCAGCAGCTACTCCAAGGTACTTCTACTGATTGTTCCTATGAGAAGCTGGTTATATTGTCTCCTCTGCTTTTCAGAGGTAGCATAGATATAATTCACCATGCTTTACAAGTGAGGGGGATGAATGTGGTTAACCCACCAAGCATGAGTATTTATGACCATAAGCTGTTGGCTGTACATTAGTTTGAATACCTAGACTCTCGAATTGCAAGCGATCTTTCCCTAGATGCAGAACTAAACAGACGAATGGGAAAGGCTTCTGCAATGCTTTACAAATTCACAATAAGAGTGTGGTCAAACAAAAAGCTTCTGGGTGGAACCAGAATAAAAAAAATGCTGAAGTCCTGAGGATGCTCCTTTATGACAGTGAAACCTGAACTCTGTTATGTCCTAAAGAAAAACATTTAATACCGTCCACATGCTCTTTATGAGACGCATTCTTAATATTTCATGGTGAGACTTTGTCCTCTATAAATGTGTACTCAGAAAAGCACAAATGCTGACAATGTACTTTCTACTGAAGCAAAGATGCCTTTGTTGGGCAAGACATGTCTCTCCCATGAATGACGGTCACACTCCAAAGGATCTCCTGTATGGTGAACTGACAACGTTGATATGCTTGCTGGGAGGCCAAAGCTATGCTATAAGGAGGCAAATGGGACCTAAAAATAAACATCAACACTGACAGAGACACTAGGGAGAGATCAACTACAGTCCAACTTCTGTGGAGGCAGATAGTGAAAGATGAACTTTTGCAGTATGAAAGAAGCCAATTGCTGCAAGCTATAGAGAAAAAATGTCAGAGAGAAAAAAAATCAGCCTCAAAACGACAGCGTTTCAATGTTTTTATGTGGAATGTGTGGCAGAGATTGCCATTTCCAAACTGGACTTTACAGTCACAGCAGACGCTGTTCCCAAAACCAACAGCCTTACTCCACTGTGGTCAGGGACTAATGGTTGCCTACACACGCAATCCTGTGAGTAATAGAACTGTCATGCATAGTTTGTTCAGTGTTGAGGATATCAGCTCTGTCCATGCTTCTTCCCACATGGGTTGGTTCATTGCCTTTCATGCCAGCATCACCGGGTGTATAGGCCCAGGTTAGGGAGGTAAGTCCAATTTTTGTATGCTTTCTATGCGTTGTGAGCAAACATGATCTATTGTCACTAGGATCTTAAGGTGCTTCAGTTTGTATTCTCCCCGTGTGGGTTCCGGGGCCCCATCGTGGGGAAAACAAGAATAGACCCACTGCCTACCCAAAAGCATGTCCTAGGAGTCGACTAATTGGGGAGCTTCCTTTAAAGTCGGAGTGCATCTGCCTGAGAGGCAAGGAACCAACAGTCTGCATTCAAGTGAATCAGATCTGTAAAACTGATGCACACGCAACACTCAGGTTCTGGAGCAGGACTGCAGTTCAGAAGTGGACGAACAACCAGAACTTTCCACCAGAGTGTAGAGCTGGTGAACGCAAAGAAGAAGAAGAAGACGTTTGTATTCGAAACCCGGATGTGCCACCTTTATTATATCACATATGTGCTTTTTTTAGAATACCTTTGAACTTGTCTGTCCACTGATTTCTTGGTCTTATTTTGACTCCCACTCTCCGCAATTTTTTGTTGTATGTTTTTATCAGTACCTGGCAAGACTGTATTGTCTTATGATGTGCTCGCTTTATTGATGAAATCAAAGGAACATCTTACTACTGTCATATTTCTGATATTTTGCCTCCTGTATCTTCTGAAATCGCTATGAAGCTTTGTAACAAATTTTATCTCACATGGAAACAACAATAACTAATGAAGAAAACAGGACAAAAATAGTGCTAAAAATTAATGAAACAATCGTGACTAGCTAATGGACAACCTACTTAGATATTTTCCGGAACTTGCAGTGGTCGAAGACCAAAGCCTTCAACTGTCCGAGTGTCTGGAAAGCTCCCTCCCAGATAAACGACTCTGGTGGCGGCTCGTCATAGCCGGTGGTGGCAGTTCTGGTGCAGGTGAAGAAAGCGTAGCCAGTCAAGGGGCTGGAGACCATATTAAGTAGAGTGGTCAGGTGTGAGGAGAAGTAATCCACGGTGCAGTTGATCCACAGGCCGGATGCTCCTGACGTCTGCAAGCAAACACAGTCAAAAGCTGTACAGTGTGGACATGGTACTGTATGTGTTGGTGTATACGACACTCCGTTGTTTAAGACTTACCCCAAAATTGAAATAATTTGTTTTAAACTCAGATTTAATTACTGCACCAATTCTGTAATTTCAGGCATTTTGCGCATTTTAAATGTTACGCCCGCTTTCCTTGGTTCATTTTGAGAGTGCTAAAGCTTTTTACGTGGTTTAAAATTTATTTTTTTTAGGTCACTGGAGGGGGCCAAATGATGTTCTGCTAACCTCCTGCCATATTCTTCAGCATATTTTATCACTTGCAGTTGAAAACTTTGTGTGGGAGTGCCATTTACTATTCTTTTTGTGGACAACTATGAAAAGTAAAAGCACATGCAGGCCTACCTTTGATGTTTAAGACGCATCCTAATTTTAAGACCCATTATGAGAACAAAAATGTGCGCCTTATACATCAACAGGAGACAAAATCAGGAATGAGATTATACGAGCTAAAGTCGGCACAGAACCAATTCTAAATTACATACAAAGACAGCAAATCAAATAGTTTGCCCACTTGGAGAAAATGCCATCTGATGCTATATCATACAAGACATATACCAAAAGAGCAGGAGACGTAGAGCAAGAGGTAGACCAAGAACAAAATGGGAAGATAAAATTATAGAAACTCTATTGCACCACAATGTGTCTATGGTCGGAGCAGCCAGCAGTGCACGAGGCAGGATCTTATATCTCCCTCGACACTCGCAATCGTAAAAGAGGACATCAAGAAGAAGATGGGGATACATCCACATATAGAGCTAGGAGAAAATACCCACCGGGGGGGGGGGGGCATCTGCTCCCCAAATATTATTGGGGGCCCAATGTGCCCCCCCCCCCAGGTTCTGGCACCTAGTGTGTGCAATTAAGGTAATCCTTTGCCAAGGTTCAACTAAATGGTTTTCATTATCATACCAATTAGTTCAACACTGGTGTCTTTGTG